GTAACTAATCCCGAACCCAATTTTGGTTGTGAAGGCTATTTTAGGGTATTTTTAAATATATTTTCTTTTTTTTCAATGCTTTGAGTAAAACATCAATGGTGACTCCATCGAACTCTTTTCAAAACTGTTAATTAGAGATTAGTCTAGTTTTCGGGCATTCCTTAATTGATGAGATTTTCAAACTGGAAGTCTAAATGATGGAACCTCTTGAAGATGATTGTTGTTTCTTCAAGTTGAACCATCCAAGTCCCTTCTTCTCTTGAGGTTCTTCACGTCCATGGAGGATTGAAGGAGATTCAAGCTTCAAAAGCTTGAAGATGCAACCTAAAGAGGTTCGATTTCTCTAGAAGGAGAGAAACTTGAGGAACCAAGCAAAAAGGAGAAATTCCTTTGTGAAGTTCCTAGACAGAAAGAGAATTCTCTACGATTTTGACTCTTGTATAAGAAATAAAAAAAGAGAGAAAGAGATTAACTAAAATACCTATTGAATGAGCTCTATTGAATCTTCAAAATTGGAAGATTTTAGGTGCTTTGTGGCAACCTTTCACACTACAATATGCCTCACAAAATCTCAAGAAATACAAAAGAGAGAGAGAGAGAAATTTCGAGCTCTAAGGAGTCTGGTCGAAATTTGGAGCCTTGAGAACTGTGCCAAAGCTGTCTATTTATAGGCATCAAAAAGTGGTCAGAACGGCCCGTTCTGAATCTGAACGTTGTGTGTTAATTTTGGTGACTGGAATGACCCGTTCTGAAACTAGAACGGCCCGTTCCAGAAGTGAGATTAACACATAATTGCCTAGTCTGGAACGACCGTTCCAAACAAGAGTTTGTAGGCCATTTTAATAACTTGGAACGAGCCGTTCCAGTTTAGGAACGACCCGTTCTAGTTAAGGTTTTAGCCCTTTTTTTAGGACCTTGGAACGAATCATTCCATTCTGGGAACGACGCGTTCCATTTTACGAACGGCCCGTTCCAGTTTAGGAACGAACCATTCCAAATTAGGGTTTTAGGCCCTTTTAGGAACTTGGAACGGCCCGTTCCAAATTGGGAACGACCCGTTCCAATTTTGGGAACGACCCGTTCCGATTTTGGAACAACCCGTTCTAGGCTACTGAAACCAGCTTGTTGGGATTTTTGGCCTTCTGATGTCGTGTCCTGTTATTTCCATGCTTGGAAGCTCCATTTCTTTGATGATAGACGTCCATTTCATTGCTATTGTTGGTTCGGACGAAATTGGGTGTCTACAATGATAATGGTCTTTTTTGTGGGGCATTGGGAAGCTATGTGTCCCCTCCCTAAGCACTTAAAGCACTTGATGGAACTAGTTCTAGGTTCATCGAAAGGTTTCTGTTTTTATTTTTCTTTGGATTTTTCTAGTGGTCTATCCTTTGAATAGGAGGAATGAACCTCCTTCTTGAAGTCCTTCTTAGGGTATGAGGTAGATTCCTTCCTTAGGTTAGGCTTTCTCCTACGTTGTTGTTCTACCCTCACAAAAAGTTGAACTAGTTCATTAAGGTCTCTATAGGGTAGTAGTTATACCTTGTCCTTAATTTCTAGGTTTAGACCACTTTGGAACCTAGCAATGGTGGTTCTCTCTTCTTCCCTAATTCCGACTCTCATCATAAGCAACTCCATTTGTTTCCTATATTCCTCCCAACTAAGGTTTCTTTTGTGGAGTCTTTGGAGCTTGTCCATTAACTCCCTCTCAAAATAAGGAGGAATGTGCCTTCTCCTTAAGGCACTTCTAAGCTCATTCCAATATTTAATTGTTGGCTCATGATGAGTTCTTCTTTCCCTTTCAAGGGAAGTCCACCAATACATGGCATACCCATGAAAGCTTAGGGTAGCCATAGGAACTCTTCTCTCTTCACTGACATTGTGGTAAGTGAAGAGTTGTTCCATCTTCATCTCCCAATCCAAATAATCATTTATGTTATCCTTACCATGTAAGGGAGGAAGTTCAATTCTAGGTTCTCTTAGAGAGTGCGAATCATGCCTAGGCCTATGTTTCCTAGGGGTTTTTTTTTATAGTATCCATCATTATGGTGACTACTATAAAACCCTTCACTTGAAGATGAGTGAGTGTGTGAATGTTGGCTCTTGGGCTGTGAATGCTCTTCAACATGTTTGCCTCTGGAAGGCTTAGAAGGCCCTTCGCCATGTTACCTTTAGGCCTAGAAGGCCCATTATCCTCATAGACTTTGGGCTTACTAGCCTCATCACTCACCACAAGTTTATTAAGTAACTCTCTAATGGTTTCATTATCTTTTTCATTTTCTATTTATTTTTTCCTAATATAATCTTTAAGTTCCCTATGTTCATCTTTAGTACTCCTATGACTTCTAGGAGTATGATGACCATGCACACTACTATCATGAGAATGATCACTCATTTTTGCAAAGGAAAGGTTTTCACAAATTTTCTAAAGAATTGCAAAAATTGAGTGATAAAGATTTTCACAAAAAGTTTTCTCTTTTTGGTGCAAGACTTGGTACTTGGAGGTTTAAGTATACAAGTTGCACTGTAACACCCCAATTTTCATACTTTTTATGGAGGGTAATTTAGTAATTTTCATTAAAATTTTTAAGGGTGATTTAATAGCCCAGAACGGGTCATTCTTAAACTGGAACGAGCCGTTCCAAACTACTAAAAAGACCTATTTTTGGTAGCCCAAAATGGGTCGTTCCCAAACTGGAACGGACCGTTCCAAACTACTAAAATTGCCTATAACCCTAGTTGGGCACGGGCCGTTCTGATTTTAAGAATGGGACATTCCAAACATGGTCGTTATGTGTTAAAATGCAACCCCAGAACGGGCCATTCTGGTTTGAGAACGAGCCTTTCCAGATGTAAATTTTACCCATGACGAATAAGTCTATAGAATGGGCCATTCCAGATTCGAAACAAGTCGTTCTGGTCACTCTTGACATCTATAAATAGTAGACTCTGGCACTACTTCTAGAAACACTCTCTGAAGACCAAGGAGAACTAAGAGAAGGAGATCAACCAGATTTCGCTCTAGCTTCGTCTTATGCTTATCCTGTAACAACCCAATTTTTCACAGATTATACGAAGGCCCAAAAGTCCAATATGGGTGATTTAGTAGCCCAGAACGGGTCGTTCCCAAACTGGAACGGGCCATTCCAAACTACTAAAAAGACCTATTTTTGGTAGTCTAGAACGGGCCGTTCCCAAATTAGAACGAGTCATTCCAAACCACCAAAATGGCCTATAACCCTAGTTGGGAACGGGTCGTTCCAAATATGGTCGTTATGGGTTAAATGCAACCCTAGAACGCGTCGTTCTAGATGTGAAATTTTACACATGACGAAGAGTCCAGAACGGGTTGTTCCAGATTTGAAACGGGTCGTTCTGGCCACTCTTGATTCCTATAAATAGAGCACTCTAGCACTCCCAAAAGGTACACCTTTCCGTTCTAACTTCTTTCAATTCTGACTTCTTTTCCTTCTACATTCTCTAAAGTCCGAGGGGAACCCAGAGGAGGAGACCAACCAGATCCTGCTCTAGTTTCAGCTACTACTTATCGAGGTATGGGGGAAAATGGGAGATTTATGTGTAGAGTCACATGAGGGAATGTGTGGAGAAGAGTTCCTGTTGAATTTTTAATAATTTTATAATTATTTTTGTTTGAATAATTATTGGTATTATGAGATTCTGTATGTGTTTAAGATTATGAATATATGATTAATTTGTAAAAATGATGCTCTAAAAGATAGAACGAAATCGTAGAAAAGTGCCTCTAAGTTAGGTTTTGGAAAATTGGGGGTATTACTATTTGAGTTAAGATTCTACTAAATTGATGATTTTATTAGGTTTTATATTAATTTATAAATATTATTTTTACATTATTTGGTAAAATTGATGATCTAGATATGGAATGTGGTGTGATGCTTTCGTACAAATGTATACATTATATCTACTGTTTTAATATTGGATTGATAACATGATATGAGTATGTTGACATGAAATGAGATGTTGATGTGATATGATTGTGGTTCCTCACACATATGACTAGGGATGAGACGACCCTGGGTAAGTGATGCTACAGGGATGGGGTGCCCCTAACATAGTGTGGGATGAGTGAGGCAATTAACATGTATCACTTATGTCTAGAGTGGCACGACCTTGAGGTGGCGTGACCGTTGTCATAGTTTTAATTGTAAGATTTGTGATGATTGTGGTTGTGATGTGATTTTGGTTCCTCACACATATGACCAAGAATGAGATGACCCTAGGTAAGTGATGCTATAGGGATGGCGTGCCCCTAGCATAGTGTGGGATGAGTGAGACAATTAAGACGTATCACTTATGTCTAGAATGGCATGACCTTGAGGTGGCGTGACAATTAGCATAGTGTTAATTGCAAGATTTGTGATAGATTGGTATGATTGGGAAATTATGATGTGAATATGATGCATGATTGATAGAATTAGAATGTATGGATATGCTTGTAAAGACTTCCTTAATTGATGAGTTACGATGAGATTATGTTGTGTTTTTCCTTGTGTGCTTTACATATAGATGTTTTCTTTTCTCACCGTATAATTTGTGGATGTTTTAGG